TATGTTGGGATTCCATCATGTTCCTGAGCTCCTCTCTAGATTATTAATCATGTCTTGCACTAGGAGCACAATTTCTCCTGTTATCTGAGAAATTATTTCTGATTTCATTTTTTCCAGATCTTCTTTTGTTGTCAGTTCAGGGAGTCCAGGTGGTTGAGTGTCAGTGTGTTCCCTCTCGTTTCCCTTTGGGGTTGCTGTAGGTGATCTGGAAGTCTGGTTTTGAGACTTGTTTACATGTCTTCTCATTTCAGCGGCTGCGGGGGAGGTGCTGCTGGCACCCGCGGGCTCACCTCCTCTGTGCTGGCGCAGGTGGTATGGTGGCCCTGAAGCCTCCTCTTGTGCACCAGCTCCTTTCTTTTTGGTTTTTGAGACGGAGTTTCACTATGTAGTTCAGGCTGTCCTTAAACTCACTATGTAGCCCAGGCTGTTCTAGAACTCATGGTGATCCTCCTGCCTCAGCCTCCTGAGTGCTTGTATTACAGCTGTACACCACCACACCTGCCACATTTTTATAAAATATTTCTAGAAGTAGAATTGCCACTTGAAGAGATGTGGGCATTAAAAATGTAGTTTTCTATAGTTAATGCTGAGTGGCTGTCGAGGACACGCAGCCCATTCCCAGCTGCACTGTGTCTGCACTGCATCGTGCTCCTATGAGGCAGGTGTTACTCTCTGCACTGCACTCGGGAGAAACCTGAGCTGCAGAGGTGAGCTGACTTCCTCAGATCCCACAGCTGGGCAGCAGAGCCCGCACACTCACTCACATTGTCTGATGGCGGGATCCATGTGTTTGCCAGTCCTGTCTCCTCCCACTAGCTCAGCTTGGTCACATAGGTGTGACTTCATTCCCTAACAGATCCTACGGTGCCTGAGCGCCTCACAGCTCTCAGGAGAAGCAGTGTGTGTGGTCAGAAGAATCTTTTTTTTAATATGAGGAAAAAGGATTACATTTTCCTATAATGTGAAGTTGTCTAACCCTAAACTCTTTTCAGAGTGCTGCAAAGTATGTGCTCGAAGCCACAGTGAAAACAGTTGTAATTTATCTAGAACTAATTTCCATTGGTTTTCTAAGAATCTTATTTGTAATAATTTTTTTTAAACTCCAGCAATGGCTCGCCTGAATTAAAAGCAATATGAAAAAAAGTACAGTGTAAACATATTTTTCTGATAATAAATAGTAGGCACTGTATAACCAATGAGCATGTTAGCAAGCTGATCCTGGTCCTCTGGTTACTGTTATTGGGATTCTGAATTACCCATTTTGGCAAAGGCCATTAAGTTATTTTTAATAGAAGTGTGTACATATCTTTGTCTACTATAATGTTACCATCCTAGTTTGTTTTTTATGTCATACTTTTGGGGGTTTTTGAGATGGGGTCTTGCTATGTAGTTCAGGCTGGCCTTGAACTCACTGTGTAGCCCCAGCTGGCCTCAAATGCCTGGGACCGTCCTGCCTCAGCCTCCCAAGGGCTAGGATCACAGGTGTCCGCCTCCCAAGGGCTAGGATCACAGGTGTCCGCCATGCCCAGCCCTGTGTCATACTATTTTACCTTCTTTTTTTGAAATAACTCAGGCTCAGATTTAGAAAAAGTTGCAAGAGTAGTACAAAGAACTTCCACCTGCCCTTTCCCAGGTTCAATAGGTTGCAATGTTTTGTCACATCTGATGAGTACAGAACAGTTGTTTTGCAGATGCACCCACATATTTTCTCATGATGAGCTTCAGAATGTGCATTTTTACCTAGAGTGTCATGAGTGAGGACATGTCCTTTTTACTGTTGTATCCAGAAGGCATTATTTTCATTTTGATGGCTTTTAGAAGGAAATGACAACAGACATGTCTTGAGATAAGCCTGTGGGTCACACTGTTAAGGAGCCCACATTCTCAGCCACCACACAGTGCTGCTGCTCTCTCCCACCACACAGTGGAGTCACCCAGGCCGGACAGAATCTTGCTCTTGTCACGCTGACACTTTCCTCTGTGTGTTATGTTTTGTGTTTTGTTGCTGGTAGCAGTGACGTTTTCCCCTTGCCTTTTAGAAGCCAAGCCTGAGTCTCCAGTGACCATTACAGAGCCCTTCCTCACCCTCTCGGGACACACAGCCAAGATCACCTGTCTGGCATGGAGCCCGCACCACGATGGGATACTCGTGTCTGCCTCCTACGATGGGACTGCCCAGGTACCGTGTCCTGACCCGGGCTCCTCTGCTGCGTACTCAGGCTCTCCTCGTCCCCCCGCTTCTACACATGTTGGTTTTGCCACAGTTAACGTCTACTGAAAGTCGTCATCTGAGCTCTGGAAGGCATTTTAGTTTTATCTGGGCCTTTAGCTGGCTGGGTTAGGGGTTTTTACTTAGACAGAAGGGAAGTATTAACGGGCACCAGCTAACATCTAACATTTCCACAGATTTCTTTCTGACTTAATATCATGGTAGAAGAAATTGTTGGGAAAAGTTCTCTCTTCTTTGAACATAGAAATATTGACTAATCGCAGAAATAGTTTTTAATAACAAATTGATAAGTCAGCAGTCTCCAAATTCTAAAAAAATCAAGATGAAATGCCAAACCAGAGCTATGAAATAGGAGTTTTGGATGTTAGAGCCAAACAGGCCTTAGCAGCCAGGGAACGAACTGCCACCTGGGACAGGTGTCTCCTGTTGTCCCTGAGCTGCACAGAGTGGGCAGCCATGAAGGAAGGCCACTTTCTGTGAAGTGGATCCCAGAGGACTTCACAATAGCAAAGAAAGTAATCATCTATCTGTGGACTCTGGACGCAAAAGAATTAATGACCTGTTTGAAATTAGAACTCTCAATTTCTGAATTAGGGATGGGCTATTTCTTCAAGGTACCAGAGCCCCCAGGCCAAGCACTAACCCAGTCCTGGTTTGGGAAAGTGCCGTGGATAGACGTTAGTAGATGCTCATTGCAAACGACCCCGTAAGAACACCTGTGTGTCCCAGGCACCTGCCCTCCCATAGAAAATACTATTGTCTGAAATTGATTTTTGTTTTTTTGAGACAGGGTCTCGCTATATAGTTCAGGCTAGTCTTGCACTCACTAGGTAACCCAGGCTGGCTGCAATCCTCCTGCCTCAGCCTTCCAAGTGCTGGGATAACAGGTGTGTGTCACCACACCTGGCCCCCAAAATTGAACCCTCAAAAGTTACAAATCACATGAGGAAATAAGAACCTGCACATTTTTTTTCAAATGAGCAATTTCTACTCCTCACCTCCAAAAAGGATAACCAGACATTGTTCTACCGTGAGGCTTTTGGTTTCAGGTATGGGATACCCTCCGTGAACAGCCTCTGCACAATTTCCGTGGACACCGGGGCCGGCTGCTTTGTGTGGTATGGTCCCCACTGGACCCAGAGTGCATCTACTCGGGGGCAGATGACTTCTGTGTGTATAGATGGCTGCCTTCCACCCAGGCTCACTCCCGGCCTCCTCAAGGTCAGTCAGATGCGAAGCCCAGAGCTGGGAACCTAACCCTCTCTCCTCCTCCATCACAGAGTTGCTCAGGGACAAGGAAGGACAACGTCCATGCATGGCCGAAGCTTCAGTGGGGCGGGGGGCTGCAGTGTAAACAGCCTCTAGGGGCTGGGATAACCACAGCCAAATGATTCCAAGTCCACCTCGCACCCGGATCTGGGTTGCCAGATGCTGCTCTTCACTAAAATATCCAGGGCTTCTTTGAGAAATGGAGCAGCAGCTCATGCAGAAAGGAAGGGCTCAAACAGTCTAAGACACATCTAACCGACACAGAAGCCACTTGAAGATGCCATCACTGACCAAATCTAGGATGATTTGAACCTGAAAAATAAGTTGCAAGAGAATGCTGACTACAAAAGATTAACTGGTCCCAGGCTTGCCCACCTGCCATAAACAACGAAAGAATTAGAATATGTTAAAAAGCAGAAACAGACCCAAAGGGAACAAAAGCATATGTCCATGTAAAGACTTGTAAAGGAATGCTCATAGCAACTTTATCTGTGGTCAGCAATAGTTAGAAACAACTCAGGTGCTTATCAGCAGATATATAAATGTCTAAACCGCACATTATCCCTCTACAGGGAATTCTATTCAGCAGTAACAAAGAAAGTAATGGGCTGCGTGGATGTATCTCAGTGGTAAAGCATATGCTTAGCCTGCTAAGGCCTAGTACCCGAAAAGAAAAGAAAGAGGAACTACTGATACACACAGCAAAATCAATGAATCTGAAAAAACATGCTGAGCAAGAGAACCCATGGGCAAAAGACTGCATACTGTATGGTTCTGTTCATGAGAAATCTATAACAGGCAAACTAAACTATAGCAGCAAATATCAGATATAGAAATCCCTAGGGCTTGCAGAGTGAGCACAGCTTACTACAGAGGTCTGAGGGAATGTTTTAGTGAAGGACATACCATATCTTGTTTTTGATGGTGACAGTGGTAAGTTACACAATTGTATGGGTCTGTCAAAATCATACCTAAATAATGGTGATTTGGGGGCTGGCGATTTAGCTCAGTAGTTCCACTGTCTGCCTCACAAGCACAAGGTCCCAAGTTCAATCCCCAGTACCAAAAAAACCCAAAAAACAAAAAACAACAATAAAAAGAAGCAAAAGATAAGAACTTTAAAACTAAAACATGTAAGTAATAGTAATGGATTATCATCCAAAACAGAAACCCACGAGTCTATAGTGATATAAATAAATGCCTAAACAAATGGAAGCACAGTCCTTCCTTACAGTAGGATGCCAGCTAGTGAATGGAGAGTGAAATGATGGAATAGAAGCCCGTTCAGAATCCTCCACACAGTAATGCCTTTCCTCCCCAAGTGGAGCATGCAGTCCCCCCACAGGAAATAGGACTGTCTGAAACTGAACTCCTAGGCAGAGGAAGGTTACTTTTTCAGGGGGTAACCTTCTTAATCAGTGATTAAAGTAAACCAAGCAGTGGGACAAATAGAAATTATGTGCTCCTCATAGGTTGCCCTGAGATAAACACAGCATCTCTTCAAAGTATTATTCCAGCTGAAAATGTACAAACTAGCCAGGTGTGGTGGCACATACCTGTAAGCCCAGCACTCAGGAGGCTAAGGCAGGAGGACTGCCCTGAGTTTAAGGCTAGTATGGGCTAGTGAGTTCAAGTCTGGCCTGAACTACATAATGAGACCCTGTCCCCGCCAAAAAGAAAATGCACAAACTAAATCTAAGGGTTAAAACATCAAGCAGACTCAAATTGAAGTGAAACTTGACAAAATAAATAACTCTCTGTAAGCTTGAAGTTTCAAGTCATAAAGTCAGGAAAATCGGGGTAACTGTACCAGGCTGAAGGGAAACAGAGAGGCGTGACAGCCAAATACAGCGTGCGATCTTGGATGATTCCTGTGGCTGCACAGAATTGTTGGCACAGGTGGTGGAACCTGATTTGAGCTTGTGGAGCACACAGCAGCGAGATATCTGTTCGTTTCCCGACTTTGCTGGTTGTGCTGTGGTGATGCTAGAGATTGTCCTTGTTTGCGAGGTGCAAGCTAACATATCCAGGGGAGATTGCACATCCTAGTTATGAGTTAGTGAAATCTCTAACGTTATAATAACAGACTGAAGGTGTATGGGGGATAGAGGGGAGTGGCAGTGCACACCCGGAATCCCAGCACTCCGTGAGGCTGACTTGGAGGCCAATGTGGGCAGTATAGTGACGTGGTGAGAGCCCAGCTTGGAAGAGAAAGGACTGGGAGTGTAGGTCAGAGCAGAGGTCCTGGGTTCAATCCCTAGCACCACCAAAGAAAAAAACCAAAATAAATGTGCGTTGTGCGTGCACGTGTGTGTGCAGAAGGGAAAGATTAAGAAGGCTGTCCAAACAAGTCACATAGTGGGGTTTAGGAGATCACCACCTAAGGTACTTTGAGCCAAGAGTCTATGTTTTAGTCTATGCTTTTTATTGTGATTTTTATAGGCAAAAAAAGTATTGAATTAGAGAAAAAACGGCTCTCTCAACCTAAGCCAAAGCCCAAAAAGAAGAAAAAGCCCACCTCGCAAATGCCTGTAAAGCAAGAGTCATTTGAGGGGAATGAAGAAGAGAGCACAAAGGAGAACACAGCGCCTGTGGAGAACGGGCTGTCAGACCAGGAGGGTGAAGAGGAGGAGGAGGAGGCGCCCCGCGCCCTCACCCCCACAGGTGCGTGCACGGCCCGTGTCGCTCGCTGTTCTCTCCAGAACTCAGCAGGGTCCTTAGTTTAAAACCTCTCTGTCTCCGACCTGCTTAATTCCCCAGCACCTTAATGTAGGTATGTACTATTTTCAGTGCCTTTGAATGATAGTAATTTTCTTTAAAGCTTTATTTAAATCTCTACATATCTTTGGAGCATTAAAGCTGTTGTGGAGTATTGGGACAAAAATAGTCAAGTTCTCTTTAGAAAACTTCTTAGTCAACTGGGCTGGCTAAGACCTTGGGAAAAAGTGAAGCTGCGGTAGTCTGCATACACTTACATGGAAAAAGTTTTAGTAATACGATATCATCAGCCATGTCTGTTGAAAGAAACCACTGTCCCTTACAAATGGCTGACCTCAACAGGGCGTGGTGGTGCGGGCCTATAATCCCAGCACTCAGGAGGCTGAGACAGGAGGATCACTTCTAGTTCAAGGCCAGCCTGAACTACATAGTGAGACAGAAAAAAACCACAAAAATAAAAATAAACGTTCACCATATATTTTGATCAGCCCTTGTAAATGTCTGGTGCTTGTTACCTATAAAATGAATGGTTAAATAGCTAACAATATAAATAGAACCCAGGGCCGGGGATTTAGTTCAATGGTTCCGCCGCCTGCCTTGAAAGCGCAAGGTCCTGAGTTTGATCCCTGGTACCAAAAAATATATATATAAATAAATAGAACCCATTATTTATGTTTGATTCTAAAGTAATATTTTGATATGACAATTAAAATGGCCAAAATACATGACATGGTGGCACCCCAACCCTCTCTATCCCAAAGGATTCTGTTGGACCCATAGCTTGGGTAAATAGAGAGCTAAGTGCTTATTACACTTAATTCCACCTTTGTGTAGTTAACATGCCTTTGTGTCACAAAACGGCTGCACAAAATGTCCTTTACCCCAGCAGACCAGCAGCTTGTTTTAAAGAAAAAAAAAGTCTGTGTGCTTCAGATTGTGGCTTTGTATCAACATACATTTAATATTCTCTTTTAGTAAAGTTATTCCTTGTTTGGATAAATGAGCAATTAGTACTTGATAACTAATGTGTAAAAAGTACCTTGTCACCTAAGCAATGTGGCACCTCCTAGGCCTGCGGCATAAAGTTGGAGGAGGCTAGAAGCTTACTTCACCTTGGTCATGCTTCTGAACACCCCACTTACAGACTCCTGCAGCACAGCCGCCAGTGAGGCCTGGGGTGGACGCCACCCGTGCTTCCTTCCCAGAGCATGCTGTGGTAACAGAAAAACTGCCTTCCTACAGCTGGAGAAGCTCTTAATTTCTAAAAGGAGCTAGATTCTGCACTGACTGTATCCCAGACTTTTCCCTTTCTTTTTCCCTCTTAATGAAGTTCCTAGAGAACCAGTTCTCTGCACTCCAATTTCATCAAGCTGTGAAAAATCAAAAGCTACTATTAATAATAAAATTGCTGTACTGAAAAAGGAGCCACCTAAAGAAAAGCCAGGTCAGTACCTAATAATTAAAATATTTTGTTAACCCATACTAAAATACTACATGCATCTGACAACTCAGACGTATCGTGATATTTTAAATTTTAAATACGTGTGGGTGTTCTGATTATGTTCAGTTTTGGGTCCTGCCTTTGAACTTTCTTTAGCACTTGCAGTTTTTGCAGTTATTACGTCACGACTGTTGGCCGGGGCATCTGTGTGTATGGTGAACACAGCACAGTGGCCGTGTGGAGGCTTCCTCCTGGGGGGAGCAGCCTGTGTGCCCAGAGCAGCCCCGCGCAGTGACAGTCACAGCATCCTTCTGTTGGTTTCCAACCTGCTGCTCTTCAGACGAACTCAGGTCTCGTCACATTTCAGAAGCCCTAATGAAGAGGAGGAAAGCGCGCTCCATGCTCCCCCTGAGTACCAGCCTGGACCACAGGTCCAAGGAGGAGCTTCATCATGACTGCCTGGTGCTGGCCACTGCGAAGCACTCCAAAGGTATGGCCGCCTCACGGCCTCCGCACACTCTAGGGGCTGGCATTCAGGGCTCGCTTATCTATTAATGAATGAGCAGCTGACGAAGCTTGGCATCTGTTTCTGCATTCTTTTGCAGCCCATGCGCCCCAGCTTCACCCCTGCACCTACAGTCAGACTCCCCATTCTGACCTGTCTGCACTGCGCAGGGCCTCTGCGATTCGGGCTCTGCCTGTACCTTACTGAGTTGCCACTGGCCATGTGGCTGGTGGATTTGGTACACTGGCCTAAGTAGCTCAGTGAATATCAACTCCTGCTGCTGCTGTCCCCCCAAATGAACAATATTTTTAGGTAGAAAAAATGTTTTTCCCTTATTGTAAATATGCCCATAATGTGATAGCTCCTTACAGAAGTTTTTGTTTATTGAGGGTTTTTTATGTTTTTCAAAGCTGTTATTTAATGCTATTTTGGTATTTAGGTGACTTTATTTTTTAATGTTGTCTTTGTGGTGTGAAAAGGATGCATTTGATCAGATGAATTTCAGACAATCTAAAAAGAAAGTATACTCAGGAGGCAGAGGCAGGAGGATCACCAAGGAGGATCAAGGCCAGCCTGGGCTACATGATTCTCAAAAAAGAAAAAAATCTCCTTTTGGGCCAGGGATTTAGCTCAGTGGTTTCACCGCCTGCTATGCAAGTGCAAGGACCCGCGTTCGATCCCCGGTACCAAAAAAAAAAAAAAATCTCCTTTCCAACCCTGACACCCCATCTTCCACTTCTGCCTACAAGACACACTATTGTATCTTTCGTAGGTCTTGCCACACATATTTTCTCCAGTGTATGTATATATGTGTATCTATGTATATGTATACATGTGTGTGTGTATATATATATTCTTCTTTGTGGGGCTTTACCATGGCTTCCTATAAATTACTCAACTAATGTTACAGTTTTACTTTATTTCCCACATTGAATATTAGTTGACTTTCTAGAAATATGCAAATTAAAACAACACTGAGATTCCATCATACTCCAGGAAGAATGGCTATCATCAAAAAACCAAACAACCAAGTGCTGTTGAGGTTACAGGGAAAACGGAATTCTTCTCCATTGCTGGTGGAAATGTAAACTAGTACAACCACTAGGGAAATCAATATGAAGATTCCTTAAAAAACTAAAACTAGAAATCCTATTCCAACCAGCTATTCCCCTTCCAGGTATCTTCTCAGAAGAGCTAAAGGCATCATGTTACAGTGATCCATACATACCCATGTTTACAGCTACACAATTCATCATAGCTAAATCTTGGAAGTGCCCAAATGTCCATTAACAGATAAATGGAGAAAGAAAATGTGATGTCTATATACTGTAGAGTACTACTCTGTCATAAAGAAGGAAATCTTGAGTCATTTGATGCACCTTGAGACCATAAGTTTAAGTGAAATAAATCAGACACACAGGCTTAAATATGGAGGGTTTCTCTTACATAAGAAACCCAAAATATAAATAAATTAACAAGCAAAACATAAGAGAGGAAACAGGAAGGTAGATCTTTTGCATAAGGGAAGGTGACCAAGCTATGGAAGGCAGGAGGGAGGGGAAGGGAAGAGGGTAGAAAAAGAATGAAGATGTGGTACGTACATGTACCAGCACCCTGTGATGAATGGAGTCATTATGTACCGCAGATATGTACTAACAAAAAAGTTTTTATAAAAGAAATTTGACTTTTAAAACAATAAATACTGAGTCCCTTTCTGGTAGGTCCCAGTGAATGCTAAGAACATTCTTTTCAATTTTGTTTTGTTTGTTATTCTGCAGCATTTAAGTCCATGTTGGAATTTAGGCTCACTTTTAATGTTTCTTCCCCCAAATCTTTCTAGTCTTTCACCAAACTGCAGTCTGCTGTCTCACTGGATTCCCCTAGCTAAGCTCAGGCAATGCATACAGACTTTGGGACCTCTGGAAGCAGCAGGGTCCCTGCCAGGGTAAACAAGGGCACACAGCTGGTGTGCAGTATCCGAAGTAGCCACTGGCAACATACGCAGAAGTTTCTGAACAAAACAGCGGTTGCCTATGTAGTGACATCATCTGATGTTTGTTTTGTGTTATTTTCAACTGACAGAGTTAAGTGAGGACGTGTCTGCAGATCTTGAAGAAAGATTTCATCTGGGGCTTTTCTCGGACAGGGACACCCTGTACAGAATGATCGAAACTGAAGGTGAGGCAGACAGTGTGTACCGCACCGCTGTGTCCATACTTGCTGACACTTCCTGTTCCTCGTCCATCCCTGCCGTGCTGTGTGGTGGTCACAGTCACTTTGACATTGTGTACGAGTGTGGCCTGACCTCCACGTTCGTATCCACTCTCGCGCTGTCATGGGATCCCAGACACACACTGCGCACTCTGACTGGGTGCGAGTAGAGCTCGTGGGGCCCTCAGAACCACCCCAAGGTGACAAGCCCATCAGTGACTGCGCATCCTCTCTCACTCTGCCCTTTCTAGCAGTCCTTGGGGACAGATTCTTCTGAAACATCTTTTAAACATTCTCTCTCTTCCACACAGGAAAAGGTCATCTGGAAAACGGTCACCCGGAGTTGTTTCACCAGCTCATGCTTTGGAAAGGAGATCTACAGGGGGTTCTCCAGACTGCAGCAGAAAGAGGGGAGCTGACAGACAACCTCGTGGCCATGGCACCAGTGGGTATGTTCGTTTCAACAAAAGCACTGTCACCTATAGGACATGTCCACTACAGATGGCTCAGAACACTGCTGGCCTGAAGCTTGAAACCACTCACATATGGTTAAGACAGGAAGTTAGTTAACTGTGGGCAGCTGCAGGCTAATAATGCATCACCTCAAACCCGACAGAAAGGCAGGACTCTAGCACGCTAAAAGCATAATTAGTGGTATATTGTTCCACTCTGTCGCTGTAACAGATGACCCAAAGGTGGGTGCTTCCTAAAGGGGTTTTATTCAGCTCACGGTTGCAGAGGATCACGCACATAGTGCTGTCTTGAAGCCAGAGACCAGGGAGGGGCCGGGCTTCCTCCCTCCTTGCCCAGGGATTGAACCCAAGGCCTCTAGCATGTTAGGCACACGCTGTACCACTGAGCTACAGGCCCAGCCCAAGGCTTGTTCTTTTTATAACACCGAGTCTTATAGGAACTAGTCCATTCTGCAAGAGCAACATGAACCCTTTCCAAGTGCAGCATCCCCTGACCCAATTACTTCCCCTAGACCCACCTGCTGTGAGAGGTCCCAACACCTCTCACACTGCCACACAGGAGGCTGAGCCTCCAGCACGTGAACCCTGAGGGACAAACTATATCAGACATGGCAGGTGAGGACTCCTTGAAGGACACTTCAGTCTTATCTGATCAGTTTTAAATGCATATAACCCTAGGCTTACCAGTTCTCTTTATAAGAATTTATCTGACTAGTCAGCCACACGGAGCAACAAATACACACAGACTTGCATGGAAGCTGTATCTGCGATAGCAAAAGATTACAAGACCCTCTGTCCATCCATGAGAGACTGCCTTAATCATGTGTACCCAGATGGATGGGAAGAGGGAGGGAGCTCCACACCTCATGACAGGGATGGAAGCCAGTAAAGGAAGTGCAGAGTCAGCAGAATATTGAGCACACATTGCACTGACACAGTACTGTGGTCATACAGTCACAGACTGTTCCCAAAGGGTTCAGAAGAAACTGGTAGTGACGGCTGCCCAGCAGGAAAGGAGTCTGGGTGAGGTATGGTGGGAAGGTTAATCCAGTGACTCTGGAAATAAGATGTTTTAAACTCGAATGTACCTGCTTCCCTCCCCCCAGCCTGTTGGGTTTTTGTGAACCACCACCTTTCATGTTTTCAGCTGGTTACCACGTGTGGCTGTGGGCTGTGGAAGCCTTCGCCAAACAGCTGTGTTTCCAGGATCAATATGTCAAGGCTGCCTCTCATCTGCTTTCCATCCATAAAGTGTATGAAGCTGTGGAGCTGCTAAAGTCAAACCATTTCTACAGGTCTGTGTGGCCCTACAGTTGAGCCAGTGGTTGGACCTAATGTCTAGTAATCTAAGTTTCATATTGTTAAAGTCGGACAGACACAAGAGACAGCATAAAACAGATGAGTAGCTTTCTCCGGGGTGGCTCCCTTCTTAAGCCCACCTATGAAACAGAATCTTACCAGCCACCCCAAAAGGTCTCCAAGTACCTGTGTATTTGTTTTTTAAGAAAAATAAAACGTTGCAAATTTAGTTGGAATGCTTTTCCCCTATTCTTCCCCTTATCCCTTCCTCTTGAGGTTCATTCAAGTCTTTCCTGTGTAAAACTACTTATTTCACTACAATACATATGTAAGAACCAAAATAAGAAAAAAATCGTTCTTATAGATAGCACATGGTTGGGTCTTATTTTTTATCCAGTCTGACAGTCTCTGCCATCTAATAAGTTTATGTTTAATATCACTACTGATGTTTAATATCACTATTGATGTAGTTGGTTTAAATTGTTTTCTGTTTATCTCCAGCACTGAGTTATTAGCTACATCCTTTATTTTTTAATGGTTTCTGTAGCATTTACAATGAGCACTTCTTAATTTATCTCAGTTTACTTTCAAATAAAATTGTACTGCTTCTTGTATACATTATACTTCTTTCCTCTTCTCGCCTTTTCTGTTGATGTCATACTAACATATTATACTTGTTAGAACCCCACATTGCACTGTTAGTATTATTGCTTTAAGCAGTCTAGTTTTTTAAATAATTTTAATGATTTTTAAACATTTTTAAAATTTTACCTATATGCTTATTATTTCTGGTATTTTTCAGTCTTTTAGCAGGTCCCAGCTTCCAGTCACTATCAGTTCCTTCACTTGAAGAACTTCTTCCCTTTTTTTTTTTTTTTTTTTTTTTTGTAGCATATTCTGCTGGTGAGAAGTCTAGGGGCCAGGATGTAGCTCAGTGGCACTGCATCTGCCTGGCAAGCACAAGATCCTGAGTTCAATTCTTAGTACTGGAAAATAAAAAAGTCTACAATTTCACCTTCATTTTAAAGGATTTTTTCATAGGTATAGAACTCCTGATTAGAATTTTTGTCTTTTAGTACTTCACAGTTACTCTGTTTTCTCTTGATTTGCATTTTTTTTGTTTTGTTTTGTTTGTTTTTGCAACAGTAGCCCAAGCTGGCTTCAAATTCTTGGTGATCCTCCTGCCTCGGCCTCCCAAGTGCTGGAATTACAAGGTGTCACCACCACATCTGGCTGCATTGTTTCTTATTTAAATAGTACATTTATTTTTATCTTTGTCATATAGGAACTGTATTTTTTTCCGTGTTTTAAGGACTTTATCACTAATTTTCAGCAATTTGATATAATGGACTATGATGAGATTTTTTGTTTATCTTGTTTGGGTTTTCTTGTCTTCCTAGAGTGTTGAACTTAGTTTTGTTGAGAAATAGTTACTGGAGCAGCATCTTGATCTCTTCATGACTTTCTGGGTGTGGTACTGGGGATTGAAGCCAGGGCCTTGTGCTTCCTCTGCCAATAAACTACATCTCCAACCTTTTTAAATTTTTATTTGAGACAAAGTATTGCTAAGTTATATAGGCTGACCTGAAACTTAATTCTCCTGCCTCAGCCTCCTGAGTAACTTGGATTATAGGCAAATGCCACTGCACTTGGTTCATGACTTATTTTTAAGCTCTGTTAGGACAGGTTTAGAGCAATTCATGTTGTAGAATTAATTTGACTCCCAGCCTTCTGATGTCTTGAATGCCTTGAATCCCCAACAAATGAGAACTCAGATGTCTGCAAGCCCAGTGATCTCAGAACTGTTCGGTTTAGTTTCCTCACTATTCTCTGTTCAGCCTTAAGGAGTTCCGTCACATCTATGGCTTGGTATTTAGCCAGAGACTCAACAAGATCCCCGCCAGAGCTCTGGCAAACTTCTCTGGCAGCTTCCTTTCTAGAATCCTGCCCCTCATTTCTAGTTGTTCCATCTCTCCTCTGCTATGGCTCTGGAGGGTCTGCTCAGGAAGGTTGCTTTAGACGGAAAGCTGGTCCTCTGCCAGAGAAGCCTTCCACACAGGCTCACTGTCTGTTCTCGCCTCTAGAGAAGCTATCGCAGTTGCCAAGGCCCGGCTGCGCCCCGAGGACCCAGTGCTGAAGGAGCTGTACCTCGGCTGGGGCACCACGCTGGAGAGAGACGGCCATTACGCTGTGGCAGCCAAATGGTAAGGCCAGGGGGACACAGTGGCCAAACAGGAGGGGCGCTGCCAGGAAAGCAGGGCGAGAGTGAAAGTGCAAAGGCAGACAAAAGTGACTAGAAAAATTTAAAAGACACATGTGTTAAACCCAGGTTTACAGGACTGATCAGGGTCTGCCTTCTTGATATTTATATGAATTGCACCTCAGTAGGCAACTCAGCAATTACTCGTTTTCCTAGTGGTGTTTAACAGCATCAGATGAGAATAAGAGCGACTGAGTCCTCTGCTCTAGCACAGTCAGGATGCACTGGGTCTGCTTTCTGTCCTGAACAGTGCACCATGGTCTCGATCACTGTGCTGAGCTGTGCTGCCCAGCCATCACAGGAACAGATGGGCACAGTGACACCTGGACCCCCGAGGCCATCTGCAGAGGGTGGAAGTGGTTCTCCCATCGCTTTCCCACTGTTATGTGGATGAACCACAAAAGCACTAGGAAAGAAGCCAGAGCCCGCTACTGTGAGAATCCATTATGTGAAACGGGCAAATCTGGAGAGAAAGAATAGCTGTTTCCTGGGGCTAGTGGTGAGACTGGACATAAAGAGGCAGGGAGGAGTTTACTGGATGATTAAAAAGATTCTAAAATTAGTTCATGGTGATGTTTGTACTACCCAGTAAATTTACTACCTTACAGTATTTGAATATATTGAATTTTGTAACATGTAAAATATACCTCAGTAAAGCTTTTGGTTGTTTTTTGAGACCGGGCCTCGCTAACTCACTGTGTAGCCCAGGCTGGCCTCAAACTCAGAGCACCTGACTGCTGGGATTACAGGTGTCCGCCACCACATCTGGCAATAAAGCTTTCTTTTTTTAAATGCTTTTTAAAAAGAAGAGGCCCTGCACTCTGGGAAGTGCATCTGTTCATGATCTGTATTTGGGGTTTTATTTATATTGCAGCTATTTAGGGGCCACTTCTCCTTATGATGCAGCCAAAGTTTTGGCCAAAAAGGGGGATGCAGCGTCACTCAGAACAGCTGCGGAGTTAGCTGCAATCGCAGGAGAGAATGAGTTGGCTGCTTCTCTGGCGCTCAGATGTGCCCAGGAGCTGCTTCTGGTGAAGAACTGGGTGGGAGCCCAGGAAGCCTTGCAGCTGCACGGAAGTCTCCAGGTCAGCCTACTACTTCGCCTCCCGGTCTTCAGAAGGGAAGGGTTCCTGGGTCCTTTCTAGGCAGAGCCGAGCGGACAGCCCCAGCTGCACAGACCAGGTCTGGCAGGTTTCTGCAGAGGCGTCTGGCGAGCCCGGCCAGGCTGTCCCACTGGAGTGTGGACGTGAGACAGCAGGGCCGCTCCCATAATCCCGTCGCTTGTTAGTCTGTACAGAATATCTGTGGGTGGCCTTCAGTCGGCCTAGAATGGGCATTGTAGCCTAATCTGCTGAAAATGAGTACCTGGGCTGGGGACATAGCTCAGTGGTACAGTGCTTGTGTAGCATGCACAAAGCCATGGGATCTATCCCCAGCACCATACACAAAATAATAATAATAATCACTTTTTAGCACATCAGAAAACACTGGCACTCTTTCCAGTTTGCAAAGTAAAGACACATTTGGTCCATTTTAGATGACTCTGCTTGTCAGTTACTAATGTGAGCTTAGTGACTGGCCTAAAAACAATTCCTAGCTGAGTATTCAGAGCTCAAGAAAGATGCTAGGCAGGGAGTAGCTTTCTGGAAATAGTATATTTCTAATTTTTTTTTCTTCTGGTACTGGGAATCAAACTCAGAGCCTTTTACTTGGCAGGCAGCACGACGCCACTGAGCTACATCCCCGGCCCTGGAAACAGTATATGTAAAAATGGAGGCAAAATAGTATATCCTGGAAGATACATAAATATATATATATATATGTATGTATGTATGTATGTATATGTATATCTCATTGAGTATATTATTTTATTTTTGAGACAGGGTCTCACCATGTAGTGTGGGCTGGTCTTAAACTCAGTATGTAGCCGAGGCCGGCCTGGAACTTGGGGCAATCCTTCTGCCTCAGCCTCCAGAGTGCTGGGATTACAGGTGTACACCTCCACACCTGGCCCTGGGTATATTCATAAAACAACTGAATCTGGAGGAAAAGGCTTCCAGAATGATTATTTAGCATTTCATTTTTATCTCTGAAACAGGATCCTTAACAAAGAAAAACAAAGACCTATAAGCTTATTCTGAACATTCTGATAGGAGCTATTTTGCCTGAATGGCACAGACCTTTGCAAGCTTAACTGAGAAAGTATCATTGTAGGGCTGCACACAGCATCTCGTGACAACTGAAAACCCAGCAAAAACAAGCAGTTAAGTTTCTTGGGCTCCAGGGGACTCCAAGGTGGAATTCCCCCAAAAGGCACCTAACAGAGAGGACAGATCCTGACCCCCCTTCCTGACACAGGACTTAGATTGCGAAGCAGCTCATTGTGAGGGGCTTGGTTGCTTCTGGTGCAAAGGGGAACGCTTGAAAGAGCTGGGAAAGCTTTTCCCCTTGTAACACTTCTCTTTGTTGTTGGGCCCCAGGGTCAGAGACTGGTGTTTTGCCTCCTTGAGCTCCTGTGCTGGCATCTGGAGGAAAAGCAGCTTCCAGAAGCCAGAAGCTCCTCCTCCTCTTACCACACCTGGGCCACGGACACCAAAGAGCCCTTCCTGCAGCGAGTGACATCAGCGTGGAAGAGCGTCTTCAGCCTGGACAGCCCAGCGCAGTGTCGGGCAGCCTTGCAGAGACTGCAGGACATTAAGTACCCATCCTCTACAAGCAACACTCCCTACAGACAGGTACCCACCTGCAGCGGCCTCCCACCTGGGAGGGAGGGAGGGAAAGAGAGTACCCGGGAAACCAGAAGCATACAGTTACAATTCAGGAGAGGCTAAGGCAGGCCCATGCACCCTGGAAGATCCTTCACACTAAAGCACTTTGGCTTGAGGTCTGACATCAGTAATCTCTTTATTTGAAAAAAAGGCCTGAAAAAAAATCTAGAGAAACATGGGCCCGGGTTGTAGCTCAGTGGCACAGCGCCTGCCTGGCAAGTGCTAGGTCCTGAGCTCCCTCTCCAGTACCAGCCCCCCCCCCCAAAAAGGAAATAGAGTAAGTACCCATAACCAGAATTAACACATGTTCACATCTTTCCTTAACTCTGTTTTGCTTCCTAGGGTTTTTATATATTCGCTTGGGATTTTTTTCTTGGTTAAAAAAAAAAATACAACAAAGCTGAAGCCCCACGTTCTGTTCCTCAGCCACATCCCAGTAAGGCAGCTCTTATTTTTCACCATATTATTTTGTATTAGTCACCATATTATCTACCTGGTGTTATTTTGTGGCTTATTTCAGTAGCTGTTGTTTGTAAAATTATCCATGTTAATGCAGAGAGAACAAGTTGATTTATTTTAGCTGCCATAACCATCTTGTGACTGTACCTCAGTTTATCTGCTTTTTATTTTTGCAGAGACTTTTTTTTTTTTGGTACAGGGGATCGAACTCGGGTCCTTGGGCTTGTGAGGCAGGCGGCAGAACCACTGAGCTAAATCTTCGCCCCTCTACTTTTTATTTTTAAAATGAAAAGACATTGTTATATTTTTGAAGAATAAGACTTCCTTGAATGGTATACACTTTCGAAAACAATCTAACCATTTCTTAAAAGAGTAAACATACACAAAACCTATGACCTGGCAATCCCACTGCCTAGACAGTTCACCACAAGAAAGGAATCAGGTGTCCACACAGACTTGCACCCAAACATTTGTAACCGCTTTTTCCACAATGGCCAAAAACTAGACACCACCCGAATGTCCATCAGCCGGTTACTGGCTGTGCAACTATGGTACATCCATAAAATTAAAGGCTACACTATTTAACAATAAAAAAGAACAAATCTCTAGTACACAGATGTCAGTGAATCGCAGAAACGTGCTAAGTGAAAGTACCAAAACACAAAGGACTACAGTACTCTGTGGTTCCATTATATAAGTTCTGGAAAAACAGAACTTATAAAAGCAGGTCAGTGGTTTTCAGGGATTGGGGTGATGTGATTGTCCACAGAGTGCTGTACATGGGGACAGTTCAGGTTGGCAAAAATGATTCATTTTGGCGGTAGTTGCAAAACTGTGTACGTTTGCCAGTACTCATGAAACTGCACATCTAACAGTGATTTATTTTACCTTAACTCTCCTGGTGGTTTTGTTGACTTGTAATTGTAGCTTTTAGTTCCAGAAGCTTTTTGTTTTAATCAAATGCAAACGCCAAGGTATTGTCTCAGTGTGAACAGACCCTGGTAGGAAACAGTGGGCACTGCTGCACCTAGGCAGGAGTTTCTGATGGGGAAGCAGAGCAGGGTGGTGGAGACAGGCGGGCTTTTAGAAGCAGGAGCTGTGCACCTGTTCCGAGGGCAGCTACTGGGTGTGTGGAGTGAGGACACTGACCTGCAGCCCTGCCCTCTCTAGCTCCTGCTGCACATTTGTCATGACCTGACCTTGGCAGTGCTGAGCCAACAGACAGCGACCTGGGAAGAGGCGGTACAGGCACTGCTTCGGGCTGTGCTCCGGAGCTATGATTCAGGGAACTTCACCATCATGCAGGAAGTGTGCTCGGCCTTTCTCCCTGATGGTAAGTGACCCCGCCTCTGTCCAGGAGTGACCAACATCAAATGGTGTGGCACCGGGAACACCAGGTTGTTAGAACATAGACTGGCCAAGTTGAGACCGTACAATAGGAAGTTTGAATGCTTTTACTCCAGGTCTTAGGTCAAGTTCGGGGCCAGCCTGGGCTACATAGCAAGACCCTGTCTCAAACAAAAACAAAAAGAGGTAGCCAGAATGACTGCCCTGTTTTCCTTTACCTGGTGCTGCCTGCCTCACTGTCTCCCACACACACAGCGTGAGAGGGAGAGATGATAATGTCGTCACAAGGTAGTCAGAAAGAAATAGTAAAAAGACATTACTTGACCTGCATAATTTATCACTGCACCAGATCCTCCTGGTTTTCAGAGGCACAGTGTGCTCGCACCTTAGTGTGGCTCAGGGAGAAAGGGAATACATTTTCTATCATGCTCTGAATGACTCCAACCCCATAGCAATGACAGCGTCAAACCAAGCCAGAAAACATTTACCTCCAGTTGGTTTTAGGCAGAAGATATGTGGTCCCAAGGGTCATACTGCCGGCTGTTTCCTGGGGTGCCTATGGGTGACAGGCACTAAAACATGTGGCAGGAAGCCACATTTCTGGCAGACAAAAGAAGATTACAACCCAAATCTTTTTTTCTTCTCCTAGGCTGTGACCACCTAAGTGACAAACTGGGTGACCGTCAGTCCTCAGCCACACCAGCTCTCAGGAGCTTGGAGGCCTTTTTCACGTACGGGCATCTGTATGAGATCTGGTGGTCTCTCTCCAGGCCTTGTCCTGAGGCCAGTGTCTGGGTCAGGGCTGACCACGGGAAGACACTGTCCACTGAGCAGAGCCAGCAGGTGGACAGAGCCAGTGCTGAGGACACTGGCTCCCAAGCTGCTTGCCAGCCAGAGCCAGGCAACCCCCCAGAACTCAGCTTGAGACTCTCAGGGGAGAGTGCACGCGTGCTGAGCGCTTGCCGGGAGCTCTTCTCAGAGCAGCACGCCAGCCTTCAGAATGCACGGAGGACTGTGGCTCAAGTCCAAGAAACTCTGGCAGAAATGATCCACCAGCACCGGAAGAGTCTGCTCTGTAAATCCATAGCCAGTGGTCCTGATAAGAACGAACCTGAACAAGAAACAGAGCTGTCCCTTGCCGGTCCTCAGAGCCAGTGGTAGGTACAGGTTCAAGTCCCAAACAGAGTGGAAAGTACCCAGCTGGGTTCTCTGTCTTTTAGGCCAAAGAAGTGCGTGATGCTAATGACCAGCTCAATTGGAAGTGAAGTAATTTGGTAATTAAGGCACAGATTTTGGGGTCAGATATAAGTCCTACTGTTGGCCTGGCAAAATTACTCCAGGCAAGACTCTTAATATCTCTAAGTTTTACTTTCCTCATCATTTACGTAAAGGCACCAACTCTTAGCCTGGTGACTTTGAGAACAAAATAAAATCATATCTATTATTAATAGTACAGTAGATCCTGCTGTTGTGTGCTAAGTAGATTCCCCCAAATAATCAGTCCTATAAAATTTGGAGATGCATTATTGCATAATTTTTAAAAAACCATTTTTTATTCTGTACTATTTCAAGAAGAGTATATAAAATGACACAGTGAGCTAAGAAAATTCGAAAGAGTAAATGCTATCACTTCCTAATGATTTCCCTTAGAAACAAAGTACAAGGGTAGGATAGGAGCCAATCACTTTTCAGCTGGATTTGTGTTATTAGGGCATGCCATGCTGGGAGTTTTGCAGTGATTGATTACTGCCTGGTTATTATTCTGAATGCCTTTTGTCTTGATTATGTCCCCCAGTACAGATCCTAAAATATACTAGCATAATCAGTAAACCCACAGCTATTATTATTAATGTTAAAAACTTAAAACTAACACTGAAGCCCTCGTTTTAAATCATAAAAAAATACTCCTCTGTATGGGCCAGGGACTTAGCTCAGTGGCGCTGCACCTGCCTCACAAGTGCAAGGTCCTGAGTTCAATCCCTGGTACCAAAGGAAAAAAAAAAAACCTCCCATTTAAAAATCACGATTTAGAGGTTTTCTTGTTAATTTTTTTTTTTTTTTTTTTTTTTGGTACTGGGGATCAAACTCTGGACCTAGCACTTGCGAGGCAGGCGTCGGCACCACTGAGCTAAATCCCTGGCCCACTCCTTTAGACAGCTTTAGGTTTGCTTTCTGTAATAACAAAAAAGGGCTAAAAGGCTCTCTAATCCATTGGCTCTTAGCCTTTAATCGCATTACCTCTGTGAGAAGCTGAGGCATTCCGCCCAGAAGTCTGCATCCACACCCACTGAGGGTTGGGAGCCTGGCTCAGTCTAACCATTCCCTACAGAGACCCAGGCCTTCTGCACTTGACTGCAGTCAAACCCCCCAGAGGTCTGACATTTCTTCTGGGGCTCTAGTCTGAAGGATTTGGAGAATGGTAAAGAGCAGTACTACATTTTGAAAGATTTATATCACTTCACATTGCCTTCTCTTGATCTTTGTATTTATGAGATAAAAGTTGCCCGGACATAACCAACTAATTCAAAAATGGCCTGAGCCAGGGATTTGGCTCAGTGGTTCCAGCACCTGCCTCACAAGCACAAGGTCCTGAGTTCAATCCCTGATACAAAAAAAAAAAAAATCAAAAATGGCCAAAAGGGCTTGAATACAGCCACTTCTCCAAAAAGATACACAAATGGCCAGTAAGCACATGAAGACACTCAGCGTCACTAATCATCTACTAAACACTACTCAAAACTACAGTAAAACACCGCCTCATGCCCATTATGATGATTTTATAAAAAGAGCCAGAAAGTAGCAAGTGTTGATAAGAATGTGGAAAAACTGGAACTTTTGTGCACCCCTGGTAGGAATGTGGGCCGGGGACTTAGCTCAGTGGTTCCGCCACCTGCCTTGCAAGCAGAAGGACCTGAATTCAATCCCTGGTACCAAAAAAAAAAAAAAAAAAAAGAGGACCAAACCATTGGTAGGAATGTAAAATGAGACAGCCACTGTGGAAAACAGGATGGGAGTTCCTCAAGAAAGTAAAGAATTACCATAAAATGCAAAGAGGTTTCACTTCTAGGCTAGACCCAAAGAATCGAATGCAGAGTCTCCAAGATAGCTGTACAGCCCTGTGGATAGCAGCTTATTCACAACAGCCGACAATGAAAGCAAGCTGGGTACCCACTGACAGGTGGACGAATAAGCAAGCATATTCTGTGCTATGCTGGAGAGTTATTTAGCCTTAAAAAGAGAGGATTCTGACAAGCGGCTGAATCGTGAGGACATTAAGCTATGTGATACGAGCTAGTGACAAAAAGAAACATACTGCATGATTCCTCTTATAAGACAGAAGCTACAACAGTGGTTGCCAGAGGCAGAGAGTGGAGAATTATTATGTAATGCATGTAAAATTTCAGTTTTCCAAGATGAAAAGTGTTCTGGATATGGATAAGTATAGTTTCATAACATTGAAAAAGTATTTAATACCACTGAAATGTAAAGTAAAACATGGTTAAGATGGTGAATTTTATGTTATATAAGTTTTTATCACATGCCAGGCATGGTGGCCCACACCTGTAATCCCAACACTGAGGAGGCTGAGGCAGGAGGATCACAATGAGGACTAGGCCAGCCTCGACTACATAGTGAGTTCAAGGCCAGCCTGAACTACATAGTGAGACTTTGTCTCAAAAAAACAAAAAAAGTATTTTACCGCAATAAATACGGTTGGGGAGCCAGGAGTGATGGCACATCCCTGTAATCCCAGCACTCGCGAGGCTGAGGCAGGAGGACTGCCTCGAGTTCGAGGCCAATCTGGATTACATAGTGAGTTCAGGGCCTCAAGGCCAGCCTAAACTACAAAGGGAGATCTTGCCTCAAAAAAAAAAATTAAATTAAAAAAAAAAAATACAATTGGTGGGAGCAGGTTGCCCAAGGCAAGATATATGACTTGTACTTTTTATTACTGGTAATAGTAAAGAAGAAGAAAATGAGCCGGTTTCTCTGCCTGAATTAACCAGAAGGCTTACAGAGGCAAATCAGAGAATAGCTACGTTTCCCGAAAGTATCAAGGTAAGATTTATAAAGCAGTTCATTTGGTAAAACATTACTTTTCCTGTTATCACTTGACTTCTTTACCTCTCTATTCTTTTTTTTTAAATGTACTCCTTAATATGTGCTGAAATTTTTAGGATACAGGCCATGCATAGTGGTACAGTTCTGTAATCCCAGCACTCTAGGAGCTGAAGCAGGAGGATTGAGAGTTTGAAGCCAACCTGGACAACTTAGCAATTCAGCAAAACCCTCACTCAAAATAAAAAGAGGACTAGATGTAGCTCAGCACAAAAGCCCTAGGTTCAGTCACCAGTACTGGAAAAAAAATTAGGATACGTTTACCTTTTGTTAGCCAAAATGATTTGTGGAAGTAGATTTATTTAAGCTGGGCATGGTGGCACACACCTGTAACCCAGTACTGTGGGAGACGAGCAGAAGGACTGCAAGTTCAAGCCCAGCCTCAGCAACTTATCTCAAAATAAAAAGGGCTGGCATTGGGATATAGCTCAGTGTGAAGACGAGTACAACTGTTGATCACACAAGTAGTCTTATTCCTCGGCCTTCAGAGAAACTAAACAGGTTTTAGAGCTGGGAGGTAAGAAATAAACTTAAATTAGTACCATGTATTTGACAGCCTACAGATGGAGAGGTACATTTGGCTGTGACCGTCATAGTAAGAGCAGCCACATTTTTTTAAGTAGGACACTAGTGAAAGATCTGTCAGTTGAGGACATCCCCATGACCACCCCAGTTTTGAGGATCATCTCAGAGTAACAGAGGAGCAAGAAAGGGCCCTGCCGCACCTGCACACTAGGATGCATGGTGGAGTTACTGTGCCTTTGTGCTCCTGCCTGGCTGTTGTGCAAATGCTTCTGTTTTCATCCTCCTATCATTTTTCAGACCTGGCCCTTCCCAGATGTGCTGGAATGCTGCCTCGTCCTGCTTCACATCAGCTCCCAGTGTCCTGGTTGTGTACCCCAAGAACTGCAGCAACAGGCCCAAGAGCTCCTTAGAAAATACGCCTGTACTACAGCTTACAAAAGACACTCCCGGACCTTCTGCACGTGAACCCTCAAGGACCTTACAGAAACTGCCACAGAACGACTGACTCTTTCACCTCTGCAGTTATACCTCACCAGACCAACATATGAGGGATGAGCTTGAATCCGCTCTATCCATAGACAAAGCACACCCTGACTGGCCTCAACTGTGGTTTGCTGAAGGAAAAGATCTGAAGGAAAGATCACAAAAAGCCAACAGTTGTTACTCACAGTCAACCCCTGCAGAGTGATTGTGGTCATCTCAGAGCCTTATGCGGGTTTCATCCAAAGACAAGAAACTTTTGTAATCACCCAAAGTATTGTTCTTGAACACAAGCTACCTTTATAACTACTTCCTCTGATCACAAATAGCTCATTCTTGTTGGAGATAAAATTGCCACATTCTGTGACTATTGGTATAGTTTATTTTGGTTTTTTTCTGTTAACCCAAGCTCTTCCACCTCTACTCTTTGAAAAAGTTTGAAATGTGAAGTAGGCCTTACCCATCATGTTGATTCTGTGCTCTGTCTCAGCTTTGGGTTAAAACTTTGGTTTTACTGTTTCATGGAATTACTTATTTGGATAAATCACTAAAGCTTGGAAGAACAGATGACTAACTCAAATGTGTGTTACCCCTTCAGTTTTATAACAGGTAACAGATGCAATGAAATAGCTCAGGAAGAAGTCACTGTTTCGGTGGCTCTTGACTTTTTTGGCGGATGGGGGGGTGTCAGAGAACTTTTTTCGGAAGTGTATTAAAGCCACAGCTACCCCCACCCAGGTCAGTGTCTTCTTTATTTGCTTTTGTTTCTGTATAATAAGCTTTGCCCTTTGGGTGTGAGTCTCATCTCAGTGCTGCAGGACACATTCTGTATCCTGTCATCCTCTCGCAGCTCTCTTGGGGTGTCTTACTTGTTCCAGTCTGGATCAGCTCATCCCGAGGACTGCTGCCCAATGACTCCCACTGCTGATTCCTGAGCTGGAATGCTTGTTTCCTGGATCCCACCTCTTCTTCCCGTTTGATCTACTTCCTTGTAAGGATTCATTCTTCCACAAACATTTATTAAGCCTGTGTCTGGCACAGTGCTAAGAATGCACAAATAAGAACAATGTCCCTGCTTACAAACTAGATGTATCTGGACTATGAAAACACAATGGCCGAGGTGACCTCAGGACCAGGTGCTCAGTCACCTAGGAATAAAGTAATTGTAAAGCCATAGATACTCTCTGGAGAAACATGCATTTTCCTGATTTTACATGTATGACCTTTGGATCATTGGACTACCAATTTAGCATAATGGAATCTAAGTACTGCTTAGCTACAAATCCTTACTCCCTCCTCTTTGGTTATTTAAACAGTTGAGCAATGTCAGAAACAGATGTTTCTGTAACGTCCACTTACTAGGGCAGGAAAATCAGACTGTCCGTGGGGGCAGGAAGGAGCACTCGTCCCAATAACTGGACTATTTTGAGAGTCACTATGAAGACTTCTGTTTGAACAAAAAACATTCGTATGTGTCACCTTAGGGTTTTAAAATATGTCAAACCCAAAAAAGCAAATATTGCAAAATTTAAATCCTCACACACAAGCAAATTCTAGGAAGAGGATACCTTGGTCCTAGAGAAGGAGAATTTTGATTGCAAAGGGAGAACTGGATAGCAGGTTCCCTGGTCTGTGAAAATGAACAACTGTACTTACAGAGATGGCAAATAATTTATTCCCTTCCACTTGAGTAATGAGAACTTATTAAACTAGAAATTGTAAATTATTTTGTAATTTACCAAAACCATCACCTGTGGATAGAGAAATCCTGCACAAGCCAGGTGTGGTAGCACATGCCTGCAATCCCAGCACTTGGGAGACAGGCAGGAGGGTTGCCCTGAGTTTGAGGCCAATCTAGGCTACATACTGAGTTCAAGGACAACCTGAACTACACAGGAAGACCCTGTCTCAAAAGAGACAGAGAAATCCTGCACACCTCTTTATTATTGTGTGGGTAAGACCAAGAAATTACTATTTGAAAACTGAAATAAAACTCCCCAGTGACAGAAGAATCACAAAAATGACAACTCAGTTTCCTCTTAAACTCCTCTTTCCAATGCTATATAATGTACTCAAACTACTATAATTTGAGAAAAGTATCGTTTTCATGTCCTTAATTACCAGAACCACAGTGAGCCAGGGCACCAAGGTCTACTGAGTGAAAAGGATTTATCGCTAAGCAATTTTTTGGACCTCTATTCCCATCCAAAGTAACTTACTCTTGGGCCAGGGATTTAGCTCAGTGGTTCCGTTGCTTGCCTTGCAAGCACAAGGACCCGAGTTCGATCCCTGGTACCAAAAAAAACCAACAAAGTAACTTACTCTCTCCCCTAACTCCACAGTAGCCCAAACCAACATGCAGATACCTGACCCTGTCACCCAAAGGAGTCCTGGCCTCCCCACATGTCTCCATGTGGTTTGTTGTTTTTGCAGTACTGGGGATTGAACCTGGGATCTTTGCACTCAGCTACATCCCCAGCCCCACTCCCTTTTATTTTTTATCTTGAGAAATTTCCTAGGGCGGGCTTGAACCTGTGGTCCTCCTGCCTCAGCCTTCCACCATGCCTGGCTTTCCAAATCTGCTCTCTTAACTAATTCTCCATTCTTTACCTAGCAGTGACTATTGCAAATGTGGTATCATCAATTCCCTTCTTAAAAATTTATCAGTAGCCATGGGAACATGGCTCTTGGGAAAAGATAAAAATCTGGAAGCAGTTTCCTCCAGGCTGCCTACTCCCAGCCTTTCCTCTTGACTTCCTGTCACAACATCCCGACCCTGGATTCCAGGCACACCGGCCTCTTGGCTGCTGGAACCCTCAAACTTCTGTCACCTAGGAGATTCTGCCTGTATTTTCCCTCGGTCTGGATGACTTACACTCATCTTTTACATCTTGCCCTAAATTTCCTTGTTCTAAAAAGACTATCTAAGCCAGGCAGGGTGTTATTCACCTATAATCTCAGCACTCAGGTGGCTGAGGCAGGAGGATCACAAGTTCAAGGCCAGATTAGGTGACATAGTGAGAAAATGTCTAAAAAAGCTGTCCCTGGGGCCAGGGATTTAGCTCAGTGGCACCGTGCCTGCCTCAGAAGTGCAAGATCCTGAGCTCAATCCCCCGTACCAAAACAAAAAAAACACTGTCCTGAACCTCAATCTCAGTTGCAGCAATGTCTTGTACCTTAGAGTTCAAACTGAATTTGTGTGAATTAAAGTGGACCCTCGAGTTACAGCTGGCCTGACATGTGAACAACTTGGGTTACGACCGGAATTTTAGTTTTTACAGCCAAAGTCTTGAGTTACGACCCAAATGCTGGCCACTTGTGCTTCCAGATGGACTCAGATACAGATTTAACCCTTAAAGAGTTCTGGAAGGAACATTACAACATCCTTTCCTGTGTGGGGGTTAACTGAGAAATCCTGGGCCAATGTCTCTCCAAGGATACTGAGATCTGCCTGTATACAGAAGAGAGACTTTGAAGGCTGTGTAGAGGAGCCTGAGGCTTCAGTTGATCAACCTGAGTTACAACCAGCCCTCAGGAACAAATTAAGTTTGTAAGTCAAGGGCCCACGGTATTTACTGTTTGGCAACAAAGGCAAACTGTAGACTAATGACAGTGATTATGTCTTCTATGGTACTGTGCTTTATCTCTAGCACCTATTAAGTGCTGGTATCTAGTAGGTGCTTACTAATGAAAACTTACTAACTAAACAAAGTAGGAAATCAAAATATTCATTTTTCAACTTGGACTTGCAGGGCCCTAAATGGATTTCACACCAGCACTGGCTGATGACTAGACTTGTGCCTAACCCAGCACCAACTGAAGATACTCCGCAGTGTACACATAAGTGAATTTTTTTTTTTTTTTGGTACCGGGGATCGAACTCGGGACCTTGTGCTTGTAAGGTAGGGAGCAGAAGCACTGATCTAAATCCCCGGCCCCACAGAAGTGAATTCTGTCCGACGTAGTCCTCTTGTTCACTCTTCAACACCATCCCTTTTTGAGGATAACCATTTACACAGCCCTAATGAACACACACAGCACACTCTTGACAGTTCTTAATAGACTCTGCTCGCTCTTTAGCACCTCTTTAATAGAACATCTGCTAGCTCTCCTATGAATGAACAGATCTCAGCTCAACCCTATGTTCTCCAGCCCTTCATCTCAGCATCTCCCCTTCACATGTAAGTCTGTCCTCAAGTCCCTATTTTAATCAAAATTTAGGACACCAGTAAAGGCTCACAGGCACCAGCATGCCCCAACACCTGGACAACCACAACTACGCCTTCACCCGTCTTACACAGTGATAAGTACCTCTTTCTTATTACATGTGAGCCTCCCAGCCAGAACTCTAGACCTGCCTGGTGCTGTGCACACATCTGTAGGCCCAGCTACTTGGGGCTAAGGCAAGGAAGGTCACTTGGGCCAGGAATTCAAGGCCAATGGCCAATGGCAAGAGCCCAACAAAATTAAATTCCAGTTCTGCTCCTACACTTGATTACACCTCTGTATTTTTGTGCCAGTAGAAAAGGCTGTAAACAGTTCTGAGCCAAATCTAAGATAATTAAAGTTTACTCTGTCCTAGAGAATTCCACTATTGACAAGTTAATCCGTCACATAGTAGTGGCCCTAGGAAATAAAACTGGCTTCCTAGTAAGGCCCAGACAGTTGAAGAAACAATTCCATTTACACATGTGCTGATTAAAAGCTTCCTACCAAGTGAGACTTTTTGTATTTAGCATATTCACGAAGGAGCCATAATTCCTCTCTTGCTACCAGGCAGCTCTAACTTAATTTAAATTCGATCATTCCCATGGGTTTGAGCCACATACATGACTGTCCTGTGGGGCAGCTAGTACCACTTCTCAGGGCGTCTCTGATTAAAATAATGCAAAGAAAGGTGTTGATTCTGCAGTTCAGATCTCATTGCACAGTTCCTTAAGGAAAACATTACAATGGTATAAAAAATTGTTAATATAGCTAACTTGTGGTACACCAGTTGTAAATGCATATTAAATACACTAGCAATGGGGTACTTATTAAACTTCCATGTTAAAATTTAGAGAATTACTTATTGATAAACTATTCACAAATATAAATCTTTTAATGACATGTGATTATTGTAATAATTGTAGTTGGTATAAATATATATAAATATATATATTTGGGCAACAATTATCCAAATTCAAGCAACTAACTAGATTCAGTCCACTTACAGACTCTGTTAATTTTATTAGTAGAACGATCAATCAAACTGATTAGCTCTATGTGTAGCACCGGTGGTTCAAGCCCCCCCAGGGGACAGTCATGCACACACCCCGGTGGTTCGAGCTGCGGGAATGTGGAAAGCCAATCTGCCAACGGGCAAGACTCCTGAGCCACAGTCTTCCAGAGCCAGCAATTCACAGCTATGAAAGACCAAACCTTCATGCCAGTGGTTAAAAAGAAATCTTTATTTTACAAAGTTAAAAACATAAATAATATTTACAACATCTTAAATACCAGGTTATAACACTTGACATTTTTTAAATCATTTCAGATTGTTTTCCATGAGATTTTAAAACATGAGACTATCCACTTTAGCAAGGTACCAGTTATTTTCACCAAAGGGTTTTTTTGATTTTTCAAAACTGTCCACTCTAGTCATTCAAAGAAAACATTGTACTTTTAAAATGTCTAGTTCTAAAATCAAAGTCCTGAGTTTCGTACCCCAGTTGTGGGATATGACTCCAAGAGATCTCTCTAAACCAAATTCCCTTACTGCCCTGTGTACAAGTAACCACTATACTTTTTTAAAGATTCACATACCTGGTACTCATGTTAATCCAGCTCCCTAACTCCTTGGGTTTGCTCAAAGGAAAAGCAGGGGAAATGAGGTGGGAGAAAATGTGACCATCTAAAATCGTATTTTTGAAAATACAATAAACTTAAGACCCAAAAATCTCATTCATTTCCTTCCAGATCAAGTCCAGGATATTTCATTACCTGAAAATTTAAATTGACTTCAGAGGATGCATAAATGATAGCAAATCCCAGTGGCACAATGGATAGATCTCAAGACACATCAGTGGTCAACTTAATACCCACTCTGAAGTCTGTCATGAAAGTAGACAGATTTAGTGAATTGTCTACATTTCAGCACTGGGCAATTCATTTCCATATAGTAATTCATAAAGAAGGACTGACAAAGGGCCAGGGAGGTAGCTCAGTGGCACAGCGCCTTTGTGGCAAGCACAAGGTCCTGAGTTTGATCCTCAGTACCAAAAATAAAAAAGAAAGACTACCAAATTGTGAGGAAAGCCAATGTCTTCAAGGAGAGTGTAAAAAGCGGGGACTGGGGGCAAAAACTCAGAACCAGTTCCCAAGAGCACCGTGTTGTACCATTTCCTCTGGAAACCCTCAGCTGAGAATCACAATCTTATAAGGATTAGCAACAAATTTAAAAGAAAAAGAATGACAACAGGTAAGAGTTATATACATTTTACTCGTTTGTTTTAGATTTGTCCTGGATATCTAAAATAGTGTCACATGAGCTATGGATGCTGGTGGCAGGAGGCAGCTGCAGAGGAGAGGCGTGGGGCTGAGGAATAGGGAAGTTATTTACAAATTCAGAGCAAACTCCCCTCTTCTGGATCTAAAATAAAGACATCTTTTGCCTTCAGTAAAACAGCAGTCTTCCTGCTCCACGCAGATGGTCGGCACAGTCTGCTCAAAGGAAGCGTTCTCTCTCAGGGAGGGTAAGCTCGAGCTCAGGAAGCACCAGTCTGGCTTGGGCCCTGCAGGGCCGGCTGCGGTCACTGCTGCATGTTGTTAATGATTGCCAGGATGCTCATCTTCTCCTGGGCAGAGTCCACGTCTTCATTCTGCTTCTGGGCCACTCCTGTGCCCAGGCCGTAGAGCCGCCCACAGTACTTGGCATCATCTATACTGTCCTCAAAAAACAACTGCAGAGTAGGACAAAGAACTGTGGTGAGGACAACGTAGGAGTTCTGCCAGGACTCACTGCCAAGGCACACCTCCCAGCCTCGAAAACCAGATGCCACCTGATCAAAGAGAGCCCCAGGCCTTCCTATGCATCATCTTCTCACGCTCCTTTCTCCACATATAAGCTGCTTTCTAACCAGACTTAGACTCTGCATGAATTCTTTTAATGTGCAGCTGCTGTTTAGTACAACTGTCCGCTCTCCTTCATAAGCAAGGCACTGGTTAGGAGCGCGGGTGCTGGACTCTGACTCACCGTGTGACCCTGGTAGTCACTTTAGCTCCTTTGAAGGTTCCTTAGGTGCCCCTCTTACAAGGTTCCTTGTAGAAAACACATGATGATATAATAACAGGATTGTTATGAGATGAGATGATGAATATTAAGCACAGCCAAGTTGGGGGGCACATCCCTGTAATCCCAGAACTCTGGGAGGCTGAGGCAGGAGGATCACCATTTGAGTCCAGCCTGGGCAACTTAGTCTTTTAGGGAGAACTTGTCTCAAAACAAGAAATAAAAAGGGCTGGGGATATAGCTCAGGGTGAAGGACCTGGGTTTAATCCCAGGTAAAGCCAAAAAAAAAAAAAAAAGGCAAAAAAGCACTTCCTGCAGGTTTTCCAACCTTGGCACTCCTGGGCATGACAATTTCTTGTCTGTTTGTTTGGTAAGTCGAGCATGAGGACACCACGTGGCGGGGACTGCCAGTATATCGCGCAATGTTTGGCAGCATCCCTGGCCAGCAGCACACGTCCTCCCCCACCAAGTTGTAATAACCAAAATGTCTCCAGACATTACCAGGTGAATGTACCCCAGGGCCATGTGCTGAAGGTCACCAGCCTGGGGCACTGCTGAGCAGAGGAAGAACCTTTAAGAGAGATGGGGCTGGAGTGTAGTGGAAGAGAGGCTTGGGGGCGGTGCCTGGAGGGGGATCCTGGGACCCCAGCTCCCCCGCATTTGCTTCCCTGCTGCCACAAGGTGAAGAGAGCTCCTCCTCCATTTGCTTTGCTCCCTACTACGATGTTGGGCTTCCCACAGGCCCATCAACAGTGCAGCCCACTAACTACAGACTGAAACCTTGACACTGAGAGCCAAAATAAACTTGTCCTCCTTTTAAGCTGACTGTCCCAGCCAGGTATTTTATCACTGTGGAAGAAAACAGACACAGAAAACTGGTATCAAGAAGTCAGGTCACTGCTGCAACCATACCTGACAATGTGGTGCAGAGGCACTTGGGATTGGTCTGTGAGAGGAGCTTAGAAACATCTGGGTGGAAGGCTGGCCAGAGCCTAGAACAGTACTAGAAGAGAGTAATGGTGGGAGCTCAGCCGAACAGAATGCAGACAATGAAGGCTGCTGTGGAAACGAGGACTACTGGAGACTAGATTACAGGTCATTCGTGTTGTATTCTATCAGAGAACATATCTACATTTTGAGCATGCAATGAGACTCAGTGGGAGGCTGAGTTTAACACTCCCTCCAGCTCGAACCACTGGTGGTCCGTACGTGACTGGCCCATCAGGCAGCTTATACCACTCGATGGGCCTGACCCATGCCACCCAAGGGGACAGCCACGCAACTGCACTGGTGGTTTGAGCCGGAGGGAATTTAACAAGTTCAAATCAGAGCTGCCTGGCAGCTAGACAAATCACACCCTGTCATGAACACGTGAAGGTGAGTGACTAGTCTATCTGGCAGAGGAAATTTCAAGGCAGCAGAGTTTTCTCAGGCAGGGATGTGGATACTGCTGACTGCTTTCAGCCAGAGTTCCAGTGAGAATCTGAAGCAAAAATCAGAGTGCGAAGAAAACTTGAAAAACTCGTGGTTTGGCCAAAAAAGCAGCACCTTGAAATTTAAGGCAAAGGAGGAGGATGGAAGAAGCTGTAGATAAAGAGATGAATGCCATTAAAAAGAAGCCAAGTACTCTGCATCCCGCCAGAAGGAAAGATGTCCTCCGGGCATCTCAGGAATCAGGCTGCCCAGGAATTGCCTCTTCTTCCCTTTGCTTAGCCTCAGGCATAGAGGCCAAGACACCCAGGCACCACTGCCGCCCAGGCTCAAGAAGACCCAGGTACAGCTCACGCCGCCAGCAAACCTTGGTGTCATCCACAGGGTACAAGCAGACTTGCAAGCACTCAGTACATGAGTTTAGTGGGAATTCTTCCCCCGAGATTTCAAAGGGAAACCTGGGAGGCCAGGCAGGATACGGCAAGCTCAGGTCCCTACAGCAGAAACGGATGCATGAGGTTAGGATGCACAGAGCCAAAGCTGCAATGGAGACCCAGGAAGTTAGAGATCCCGGGAACATGGAACATCTGCCAAGGGGAGCCACAGGAAGCAAGCGAAGCCAGCCCACAGGATGGCCACATGGACAGGGCTGCCCAAGCCCTCTGGAGCTCACGCCACGACACCATGTGCACGAGACGGTACATACAGTACAGGACTTCGTTTGTCCTGCTGGGTTTAGATTTTGCTTTGGTCTGATTTTTCCTTTGTTCTTCCTCCTTACTTTGAGCCACTGTATCTTGGATATAACCAGTTAGTTCATTTTAATTTGTGCAGTACTGGGAATTAGCACTCTACTGTGGTGTTACATTCCCAGCATTTTTTTTTCTTGAGACAGGGTGTTGCTAAGTTGCCCAGGCTGGCCTTAAACTTGCAATCCTCCTGCCTCAGCCTCCCAAGTAGCTGGTATTAGAGATGTACACCATAAGGCCTGGCTGTTGTTTGGATATTTAAAGGGGCTCACAGCTGAGTTTGCCTTGAGTCTCAGAGAAGACTTTGGACTTGGACTTTCAAGCAAAGTTGGAACTATTAAGACTTTAAATATTCTTTTTTCTTCCATTAAGTTTATTGGTACATTTTAGGTATATACATTATGATCACATTCATCATTGGGAATTTGTACCTGTACATGATATATCTTGGTTCTTGTTTTTTAAGACTTTAGATATTTTTTTTTTTTTGATACCAGGAATCAAACTCGGGACCTTGTGCTTGCAAGGCAGGAGGCAGAACCACTGAGCTAAATCCCAGGCCCAACTTTAGATATTCTTAAAGACAGATTAAATGCGTCTTGCACTATTAAGATGGACATGAAACTTTGTGGGTCAGAGGCAGTCTGTTACGGTTTGAATCCTAAATGTCCTTCAAAGACCATGTGTTAAAAGCATGGCTCACCTGCCGGTGGTACTACTGGGAAGTGAAAGAACCTTTAGAAGGCAGGGCCTGGTGAAAGGAAGTCAGGTTTAGGAGCATGCCCTGAAAGAGCTATTGGAACCCAGCACCTTCTCTCTCTCTATCTCTGTCCCCCTCTCTCCACCTCTATCTATTTTGTTTCTATTTCTTTCTCTCTGCTTCCTTGGCCATCATGGGAAAAAAGATACGTGCCACACAGTCCCCATCAGGTTCTGCCTCACCACAGGCCCAAGAACAATGAAGTGAACAGACCATGGACTGAAACCTCTAAATTTTATTTTTGGCTTGGTACCAGGAATCAAGCTCAGGGCCTCATGCTTGCCAGGCAGGCACTGTGTCACTGAGCTACATATCCGGCCCTGAAACCTCTAAAATTGTGAGCTAAAATGAACTTTTTACACTGTTTAACTTGATTATCTCAGGTATTTTGTCACAATGACGGAAGAGTGACGAATATAACTTCCCAGCACACAGTACTACTTAACAGTTGTGGTTTATGATTAGGAGTAACAAAGAGGAAATACACTATCTCTTGCCACATTCACTGTTCTAAAAAGAAAACTAATGTCTATATAGATTTATCTGATTCATTCCCTAAAAGTGTCTATAAAATCATCATTACATTCAAACCAGTTTTCCACTCCTTCTCTCTCTTCATACTCATTTTAAAACTTAGAGGAAGAAAAGAAGAAATTCTAAGAATTTCTAAGCAAGAAATTCAATCTTTACTAATGAGTTACAGAAATCTCATATAATATTAAATAATTAACAACTCTGCATAACATAAACGAGTGATCTAACATATATGTTCCTATTCTACAAATAAGAAAACCAAATAAATGAAAAGATGAGAGCACCTAGGAACTCCAAGTACCTGGACTTGAGTATGCTCAGGGACTCCTAAGTATTCCACTTCAGAATGCTCAGTTTTGCCTCTCCAGCTGCGCTTGGTGTGCTGGCACACCCTCACAGACAAACAGAAACTGTTTTCAAGGTGGCCACTAACTTCCAACAGAAACTCTCAATCTTCAACAAACTTCACCCCACAGAGATCACTTCCTTTTTTAGCCTTCAGTAAGTTATGTGCCAATCTAATTCTGGACAGCAAATCTCTTTTTTTTTTTGGTACCAGGGATCAAACTTGGGTCCTTGCGCTTGCGCAGCAGGCGGCGAAACCACTGAGAAGGGACAGCAAATCTCTTTGCAGAAACCTTTACACCTAATGGCACTTACCTCCTTCATCCTGAAGAATGCCATCCCTGTCAGCAGCGAGTCTGAGCCAGCCTGGTGTTGCCTTCCAATTCTCTGTAAATCCAACTGATCAGCAACTTCCTGAAGCCCTCCCTGGAGATGTATGGAAAACAGAACATTACAGACACAATACTATGGAATTCAATTAAGGCCATTTGTGAGTTCACTTCATTGTGGTGGCAAGAAATAGAGCCATTTATTTAAGGGGCTCAGTATCCTCCTTTTAACCTTTAACTTTCTTTCCTCCAAATACATTGTGTGACATTCTATTTTCTGCTCTTTTCTTGCTAATTCTGCCAAAGCCCTTTAAAATCAAAAGCTGCTATAAAACAAGGCTGAGGAAATGGTAAATGCCAATCCAATTCTATACAGCATATCTCTTATGTCAATTCAATAAGAAGCTGGGTGTGGTGGTACATGCCTGTAATCTTAGCACTCTGGGAGGCTGAGGCAGAAGGACCACAAGTTTGACCCCAGCCCAGGCAACCTGGTGAGACTTAGCAAGACACTAAATAAATAATAAAGGGCTAGGGAAACAGTCCATAATGAAGGCCCTGGATTCAATCCACACTACCACCATGGGGAAAACAAAAATCAGTAAGGTAGTACCTTCTTTAACTTTCTAGAATTAAGAATTCCTATGAGAGTCTGGGACAATACAGAGCCCGTCCCTAACAAACTGCATGTATGCATCATGCTGCCAACTGGTTAACACGGTTTATGGGCTTCAGGATGGGAATGCCTGCCTTACGATGAGAGAAACAGAGGCCTCCTCCATCCAGTCACCAAACAACCACCTGTGCCACACCCACCTCTGTGCCAATCAGCAGCTCTACGTTACACCTCATCTGGCAGAGGTGGCATCTAGCAGGCACGCAGGACTGCACCCGAAACACAACAATAAAGCAAAATAAGTCTGCTTTTTAGTTTGTTTTTTGCTAGCATTAAGAAAAATGTTACATACCTTAAGATTTTTGCAACTCTTCATCAGGTATTTCACATCATAAATGGATGGGAAGAAAAGGTTCAAAATATGAAAGAAGTCATGTTCTTCTTCTGGCAAACGAGAATCTGTAAGTAACTTTACCATGTAGCCAAAATCATAGCCACTACAAGGAGAAAATGAAGCAGGGAGGTAAAAAAGCAGCAGTTTCTGAGTCCCAGTGTTCACGCACTTTATTTCTCAAAGCGTATAATGCTACCTTATGTTAGAAACTTTTAGTCTTCCACAGTATGCCCTATTGCAATCCAAACTTTTCTATTAAGTTACAAAATATAGTAGGCTATTATGAACAATTTATGAGAGAACCCAAGGGTCTACAAATGTGGATTTGATTCATCAAATTCAAAAGGTACCAAAAAGGTAAAATATATCTGTTGTAGGTTGTATCTTGATATTCCCTGAAAGCCTCATGTGCTCATAAGTGGGGCCTTTGGGAGGTGACTGGACCATGGGTGTGTAATACTGGATGAGTCCACTGATTGGTTCGGCATAGTTTCTGGGTGTGAATGATGGATTTATTGAAGAGGAAGACTCACCCTGAGTACGGGCAGCACCAACCAATAGGCTTGTAGCCTGGATGGAATAGAAAGGAAAAGAAGAAAGAAGTCTTGCTGCCTCCTGCCTGCTATGCCATGAACTGCTTCTTCTGTGAGATGCCCCTCTGCCACAGTCCCCTGCCTGGAACCAGCCAACTATGGACTGAAACCTCTACACACTGTAAGCTAAAATCAACCTCTCCTCTTTTAACTTTAGGTGTCAGGTATTTTGTTCTAGCAACGAGAAAGTAACTAAGACAATCTCCTAAAGGGAATCTGCCTTTTGAGTACTTGGCACACTCCAGGACAAGTTAAAAAACAAGTAAGTGGGCTGGGGATTTAGCGCAGTGGTTCCACCGCCTGCTTCGTAAGTGCAAGGACCCAAGTTTGATCCCTGGTACCAAAAAAATTGAAAAAAAAAGTAAGTACTGTATGTGACCCGCTCCATTCTCCACCTCTGCACTTGGAATCAGAGCCACTGAGAGCCACATGATAAGCCCAAGATTTTGTGCAACAAATTAGTATAAACGACAAAGCGTTTTATGAAAAACAGAAACATGAGCAACACATGTCATTTTCACCTTCTAACTGCTGCTGATGAAGAAAGCAGAGTCAACAGGACTGCAAAAGTAAGTATTCGATTCCCTGCTCCAGGGTAGCCCAGTGAAGGAGAGACACACACACCGTCTGGGACTGACCTGTGAAATGAAAGCCACTTGACATTGTCACAGAGAACCACTCCTGACGTCATAAGCAGCTCTGCAAAGTGCAGCGTGTCAATCCCTTCTTCCTCATGCTTCTGAAACTGCAGCCCTGAGTTGGCGAGGAGGTCTATGGAATCCTGGGAGTACATGTCCTCTCTAAAACACAGTGTTCACTTACTAGTGGGAGATAACGAAACAGGAGCAGCAAGCAACACTATTACCATCACTTTGCAGTTATAGCACAAGTATTCTTGAAATGCTCTTCATGACCTAAAAATATACCAATTCATTCTTTCCTATATTCCAGCAAGGGTGCAAAGCAGATAATCTTATTTTTGTGACAAATGGAAAAATGGGGTATTTCCCCAGACTAAGTTTCCCAATTATAAACATCTACATTTTCTCACTGTTAAAAAAAAATTAACCAGTACAAAAATATTAAGATAGGAAAAAAATTTTAATTAATGAATTAATGTTCATGTCATGTTACACCACAGAAATAACAGTGCCTTTCCAATCTATTTTTTCTACCTACACACACATATATACATCCTAGTGTCTCTATCTCACAGATCGTCTTTCTAAATCAGTACTACAATAATGCATCCCTTCTAACTCTGCATAATATCTCATTGCAGAGATACATCTATCAATTTAACACGTTCCACCGGCTTGAACCACACTAGTGCTAACTGGATGGCTGACCCATTGGGATAGCAATACATACAAAACACAGGAATATGTATAATACCACACAATACAAAACTAGGGAAATAATTAAGTCAAACAGCTCCTTTCCCATTAAATGTCACAATTTTATCTTTCAAATGTACTTGAGCTAAATCATCACAACGAAAACTACCAAAATCCTTGGTTCCACTGCCTGCCTTGCAAGCTCAAGGTCCTGAGTTTGATCCCCGATACCAAAAAGAAAAAAAAACTACCAAAATCTTGAAAGATTCAGATCATTTCTCAAAATCATCTGAACCTGAGATTTCTAAAACATATGAACATTCTGCCGGGGATTTAGCTCAGTGGTTTTGCGGCCTGCTGCGCAAGCACAAGGACCCCAGTTCGATCCCCGGTACCAAAAAAAAAAAAAAGATATATTTAAAACACATGAACAGCCAAAAAGTTATTCCTGAGGTACCAAATGATCTTGATGCTAAATCAAACAAGGCAATATTGAGCTGGGCATGGTGGCTCACACCTATAATCCCAGCACTTGGGAGGGTGAGGCAGGATGACTGCCATGAGTTTGAGGCTAGCCTGGGCTATACAGTGGAGTTCAAGACCAGAATGAACTACATAGTGAGACCCTGTCTCAAAACAACCAGAAAACAAAACAAAAAAAGGAGGGCCAGGGATTTAGCTCAGTGGTTCCAGCACCTGCCTCGCAAGCGCAAGGACCCAAGTTCAATCCCTGGTACCAAAAAAAAAAAAAAGTGGGCCGGGGATTTAGCTCAGTGGTTTCGCCACCTGCTGCACAAGCGCAAGGACCTGAGTTCGATCCCCAGTACCAAAAAATACAAAAACAAAATAAATAAAAAAATAAGTAGCCGAGGATTTAGCTCAGTGGTGCCGCTGCCTGCCTTGCAAGCGCAAGGTCCTGAGTTCAATCCCTGGTACCAAAAAAAAAAAAAGTATAGAACTCCAAGTGTCCACTGATAGATAAACAAAATGTGACATATACATGTAATGAAAGATTACTGAGTCTTTAAAAGGAAGAAAATCTGGTCACATGCTGCAACATGAATAAAGCTGCAGGACATTAAAATAGTGAAGTAAGCCAGTCAAAAAAAACAAACACTTGGGCCAGGGATGTAGCTCAGCAGTTCCGGCGCCTGCCTCGAAAGTGGAAGGACCCAAGTTTGATCCCTGGTACAAAAAAACAAACAAACAAACAGCAAAAAAAAAAAACCACTGATGATTCCACTTGTTTGAGGTATCTAAAGTAGTTAAATTATAAAAACAAATTACCAAGCCCTGGGGTCAGGGGGGTTAATAAATAAAGAGTTTCAGTTTTTTGTTTTGGGGATTTTTTTTTTATTTTTTGAGACAGGCTGGCTTTGAACTTATGGCAATCCTCCTGCCTCAGCTTCCCAAGTACTGAAATTACAGGTGTGTGCCAGAGTTTCAGTTTTGCTCAAAGAAAAAATTCTGGAAATCTGTTTTAAAAACCAGGCATGGTGGTTTTTAAAACACACCTATAATACCAGCTACTCAGGAGGACGAGGCAGGAGTATCACAAATTCAAGGCCAGCCTAGGTAACTTAGCAAGACCCTGTCTCAAAACAAAACTGGAGGGGGGGCGAGGCTGGGGTGGGAACATAGCTCGGAGGTAACGCACTTGCCTAGCACACACAAGACCCTGCATTCAGTTCCCAATAGGGACCAGGAGGAGGGAGGGGGCCGAGGAGGGAGAAGGGAAAGGAGAGGAGGGGAGGACAGAAAAAGGGAGCGGAGGGGAAGGATGAAAAGAGAGAAGAAGGAAGGGGAAAGGAAGAAACTGTAGTCTCCATGAATGTAGGGGATCTAAGGATAACACTGAAAAGTATCTCAGATACTTACGTAAGGTTGAATTTGAAGTTGAACTGCCAAGTGTTGATTCCAGAAGGATATTCTCCCTTCTCATTTGTGAATGTAAGGCCGAGCTGGATAATTTTTAAAAGGTCAACATTGCACCTCAGAAGCTGATACTGGTAGTCTATGGAACTACGAAATTCACCAATTGGTCGTACCACAACACCTGGAAATTCTGTGTCCTGGAAAAGGAAAAGGGCTCTCATTATAAGGCGGTGATGGTGAACCTTTTAGAGCTTGCAACGATACAAACAGCCCACTGTGGCATGCATGCCATAGGTTCACCACCACTATTATAAGGTTTCACAAAATGGGATGCTGAATGATAAATCATAAAGAAACTTTTACCTCAATTTATAAAAATTACATGCTAGGACACAAAAGTCTACCTTAAAATAATGATCGTGTTGCTATCTACTGAAGCAGTGCCAGAATCTCGGTGCTTTACACAACTTAAAAGACCCTGGGCAGGGTGAGCAGAAGGAGCTGGATAACCAAAGGTAGGTATGCAACCAGGGACACCCTAAGTTAATAGTCATGTTCAGCTTGAGTGACCAGCCTGGACCAGGGTCACATAGACCTGAATACTAAGCGAAGGACGTAATGCTATTCTCTCTAAAACAGAAGTCACAAACTACTGGCCACCAACATGAAGGAATAAAGCAAGCTGGCTATGAAAATGGTAACAAGTCACAGGCACTGGATAAAATGAAGAGCATATCCCTCTCCGGGGTGGGGGGAGACAGAAAGGAGAGGTGAAGAAGTAAAATGGGTCAAGATGCAGTATGAATAGGTACCAAATTCCCCACAATGAACATGCTTGATTATATATCTCCAATATATACTAATAAAAAAGGGGAAGACAATTAAAAAAAAAAGGAACACATCCATCTGTATAGGAGGCCACTACCAAGATACTCTCTTGCTCTGTAACTACTCAATGTCAGGTAGGAAATGTTCACCACATATTGCCAGGCTTTCCCATTTTTTCCAGATGCTAGAAACCTGAAATTTAAGTGAGGTCTCATGACTTCTATTTTTGTGACAGAATCTCACTTTGTAGTTCAGGCTGGCCCTGAACTCATTATGTAGCCCAGGGTGGCATTAAAGTTGGGGCAATCCTCGTGCCTCAGCCTCTCATGTCCTGGGATTACAGGCGTGAGCCATCACACCCAGCCAATGATTTTTAAACGCTGGCAAACTTCTTTAAATTTCTAAATATACTATACAGTCAAATTCAGCACATCTGTGGTACATATGTACCCTATCACTGACACAATTTCTGCTTTTAAGACTTTCAGAAAAGGAATAGGGGCTGGGGATTTAGCTTAGTGGTTCCAGCGCCTGGCTCAAAAGCACAAGGTCCCGAGTTCAATCCCCGGTACCAAAAAAAAAAAAAAAAGACTTTCAAACAGGGCTGGGGGTATAGAGGCAGAACACTGGCCTAGCAGGTGTGAGGCCATGGATTGGATCCCCAGCATCAGGAAAAAAAAAAAAAAAACCAACAAGCAGTAACCTTACAAAAAACCTAAGAGCCAGCACGGTAGCACACACCTATAATCCCAGCACTAGGGAAGCTGAAGCAAGAGAATCGCCATGAGTTAAGGTCAGCCTGAGCTACATAGTGAGTTCAAGCTCAGCCTGAACTACATAGTGAGACCGTGTCTCAAAAAACCAAAAATAAACTAAGAAACCAAAACTTACACCCCTCCTCAGAGACACTAGCTATCTTGATGTTTCATAAAAACAACATAAACTTTCATCAACTCTAACTTACTATGTCTTTACCAGAATATAATTAGTTCTTCTCAAAACCTTACATGAAACACTCCCTAAGCCCACAGAAGGTGAGTCCATAAACAGAGGTCCTTACCATGGCAATGTAACTGTAACTGAGCACAATCTCTCGGATCTTCCTCATCTCTTCTTCTAGATTGCTGGCCCAGACTTCACAGATAACCTGGCTATTCTCCACAAGTGCTGCAGGCATCCTGAAGAAACCTTAGAAGTTGCTTTCAGGTAACTCTGTGCAGGTTCCACACGGGATGTGATCACCAGACAATGTTTGATCTGATCTAGATTTAAGAACATATTTGAAATCATGTAAGTACACAATGATATATCAACAAAACAAAGACAAAACATTTGCTCGGAAAACAGTATTTTATCAGACTGACAGAATAGGTAGGTACATATGAGCTGGAATGGAGAGAACAGCTGAGACCAGGGAGGACATCCTGCAACAGAATGTGGTCTCGACATCCTGAATCTGCAGCCTCACAACTTCCCGGGTTGGGGCCTCAAACCTCACACAGGTGTCTCACACATAGGCACATGGGACTGGGGTCAATGCACAGAGACCTAGGGGCCTCAAGCCCCATCCTGACCCTATCAGACCCCAACTCACCTCCTTCAGCCTCATTTACATAATCTGCATTGTGGCTTTGACCCTGCCCCATGGGCTCTGGCCACCAGGTCTGCTCCGGCCCCAAGACTTTCTAAGTTTGACAACACCCCCTTCCCAACTTGAGAGTGCAGCAGCCCCACCACCACCCTGACTACAACAACACGAGCCACTCCTCCTGCAAGTTCTAGGAAAAACAAAAGGGAAACTAACCCCAGACCTCACTGCAGTTGTCACCTCTGGCTCTGCCTGCCTGGAACCCTCCAAGTGCGCCATCCTCGTCAATAAACTACCCCAACTCTCTCTGCACACCTGGCCGCTGGATCCCTCCCTGGTGCACTATGCCTGCCACACATAGCTGCCAGCATTGCCCATTCTCCCTTCTTGAGAAGTATACTGTTCCAAATCAATTGCTGGCTTAGTATTACACTCCCTTTCCTGGACCTACAACTTCTTACCTGAGTTTCCTTCCAGGGACCTCCTTGCAAATCTCAAGAGGATCCAAGAATCAAGTCAAGCTGCTTAATGCAGATGCAACAGGCTGACGGGCCAGGCAGATCCAGCAATCCAGTAACATTTACTGCCTTCATTCATTTAAGCTAAACTATTACCATCGCTGTATTTACCCTCCATTCTGCGTGATAGGAAAGCTTGCCTTTGTCATGACAGACAAGAAAAAACTAAAAGTATTGGGGAAATTTTTGCCCAAGCATGCTTGAACACAGAAATGAAAGCACTACCCCAAACCCATTTTTCAGCCCTCTGCTGACTACCTCAAGATGAAAATAGTCCCCTTTGACCACAAATATGGTCTTATCCATAACTTTAACATCACTTTGGATAGAGACCAAATCGTGGACATATTTCCAGAATGAATCACTTTTGCTGCCTGAAATGTACCCGAGCTCTCTGAAAGCCTGAATAACATAAACCAAAACTCTCACTCAAGTCTTCACACCCATGATGAATAAGGCATAAGACTCCACCAAAGGGAATTTTTTTCTACACAATCCAAAACTCAAATACAACTGGAGGCAATGAACTGACTATAGGGCCTCTTTAGATTTTTTTTTCCCCCAGTCCCAGGGATCAAACTCAGGACCTTGCACTTGCCAGGGAAGCGCAGTACCACTGAGCTACATCCATGGCCCCATCCTCTTTAGATTTTTGCCAGTAGATTATGAGGTGAAATATTTAAGTGGTAAGGACCAATTCCACTTTCTAATTTCAATTCTTTTTTTTTTAATTCATTAAGTTTATTAGCTGGGCATGGTGGCAAATGCCTATAATCCCAGCACTCCAGAGGCTGAGGCTGGATGATCATGAGTTCTAGGCCAGCCTGGGCTACAGAGTGAGTTCAGGACAAGCCTAAACTACAAAGGGAGACCCTGCCTCAAAAAATAAAAAATAAAATTCATTAAGTTGGTGCATTTTAGGTATACAATATGATGACATTCATCACTGGGAATTTGTACCCTTACATGATATTTCTTGGTTCTTATTTTTCCCCTTTCCCCTGCCCTCCCTTCCACCCCTCCACCCCTTCCTACTTACAAAAACTGTTTCCATTTTTTTTTCCTTTTCTCATATTTATTCCTTTCCCTTCCCCCACCCCTCCCACTCCCCCTTCCCCTCTGGGCCTTACCTTCCTATTTCATATTATCTATTATATGTTAATTTCAATTCTTAACCATGACGAAAGTAAGAATTTAAGTTATTAACCTCTACTTTTAAGTATATAATATGGTAAAGAAACCAAGCAGCAATTCTCCAATAAGAAAAGAGAGAATGGCAGGTATAAATAATTCAACTAGAAACAGAATATGTCTCTTCCAGGATGAAATTGGAGAGGGGAAGTATTCTACAAGATAAAATTCAACACCATCTGGCCTCAGATTAATGCTGTTAATATAGCATAATCAACATAAGTCTCAGCCAGGTGTGGTGGGCACTTGGGAGGCTGAGGCAGGAGGATCGCTCTAGGCCAGCCTGAACTACATAGTGAGACCCTGTCTCACACACACAAAAAGCCCAAACATAAAAGTCTTAAGAGTTATAAAAAAATCAAAAAAGAAGCTTATCCTAAGGACATTTACTAATAACGCAAGCCAACCACAAAGATCTTCAACGGAATGGTGACCTCTAGTATTTATTTCAGGGGAAATTCCAGAAACAGGAAAATGAGTGTTAGCAGTTTCCAAAAGAGTCTTTGCTTTTCATTTTCAAGATTGGCAGACACCACTCAGGAGGCTGAGATAGGAGGACTGCTGCAAGTTTAAGGCCATGTTGGGTTACACAGTGAGTTTCAAGGCCAGCCTGAACTACAGAGTAAGGCCGCCAAAAAAAAAAAAAAAAAAGCTGCAAGTTGTGGCGCACACTCAGAATCCCGGCACTCAGGCGGCTGAGGCAGGAGGACTGGCGTGAGTTCAGGCCACCCTGGGCTACGTAGTGAGTTCAAAGCCAACCTGAACTAACATACCAAGGCCTTGTCTTAAAAAAAAAAAAAAAAAAAAGATTGGCAGGCGCATCGAGAATCTGGAACAAAACTGGCATTCTCAAACTGTCAACAGACCTTCTATTTATTCAAGGTATCTTGATTAATAAATAGATTGTGTGGCCGTTCCTCAAAAAACACAAATAGAAATTTCTTAATGACAATTCACTTCTTTTCTTGTTTTACTCCTATTAAAGACTTGCACATGAACAAAGAGGAAAGAACATAAATTCACACTGAAGCATGGAGTAAATTTCACTACCTTACCATAATAAAGAAAATACTGGAACTAAGATCTTTAGATTCCTAACATGCTTAAGTTTTTTTCCCCCTGTAAAAGACATTAAAACCATTTTCTATGCCCACTTAATGTTAAATTGGGGCCACTTCCTTATTTCCCCAGCTGAAACAATGAACCTCCTTTTTGCTACCATTTCAAATACAACCATAAATTCAGAAAAGAGGGCATCATTCCTGGGCTTTTGAGATATGTTTCCATAAAATCAAAAGCAACAAAAGGGGCACAGGTGAGTTTAAAAAAAAAAAAAAAAAAAAGCTTGTCCTCCATTACAGGAAAGTTTTGTTTTTAAAAAACTAACCACAGGTTGCCGGGCATGGTGGTGCACTCCTGTGATCCCAGCACTTGGGAGGCAGAGGCAGGAGAATCAAGGATCGCCGCGATTTTGAGGCCAGCCTGGGCTACACAGTGAGATCAGGGCCAACCTGAACAACAAAGCAACACCCCGTCTCAAAAAACAAACAAAAAAAAGCTAATCACAGGTGACATAAAAAGAATTAAGAGGTATTATGTACATGTACCAATTCCCTACAATGAATGTAATCATTATGTGCTATAAATATGTACCAATAATTTTTTTTTAATTTTCAAGCTATCCATTGTAAAAAACCAAACCAAACCAAACAAGAGCCATTGTTATACATATCTGACAAGTAGGGCCCACACAAGAGATCACTGGCAAAAGTCTGTAAGACAATCTTGCACTAAATCCTAAATTAGGAAATCTGTGGAAAAATAAAATAGCTTGGAAGCTCTTGAATGTAGCACCACTCAAAAATTGAAGAGGAATCACAAAGTACACGATAAATTTACTGTCACGTTACTGGAAATGCTAGCCAAAAGGAGAGAGAAATCAGCAGCTTAATATTACCAACTGGGTTAGGGGTGCAGCTCAGTGGTAGAGTAGTAGCTTGCCTGGCATGCCTGAGGCCCTGGCTTCAATCTCTCAACACCAAAAAACACAAAAGCAAAAAAAAATAAGCCTAAACATAAAAGTGTTAAGGATCACAAGTTTGACTGTAAGCCAATATAAATCTTTCCTCTTTTTATTAAAAAAAAAAAAGTTTGAGGCCAGCCTGGGCTACATAGCAAGTTCTACACAATCAGACCCTGTCTCCCAAAATAAAAAGCAATTGGCCTGGCACTTTCCACTCAGTGAGCACATGTTCTACAAACTGCGTAAGAATCACAAACATGCCACTCACTTGGTTTGTCTTCCTTCTTCCTTTTTTTTTTTTTGGGAACCAGGGATTGAACTTAGGACCTTGTGCTTTCGAGGCAGGTAGCGGAATCACTGAGCTAAATCCCCGGCCCTGTCTTCCTTCTTTTAAGTCTCTGAATGACAGCATCTCACAGTGCAGAACGACTCTATGCCTTTCAAATACTATGATTATTTGTGTAATAAAGCCCTTAAAGATAACCTAATTAGTTTGTCTCAGTTATAACCACAGAAACGGTAATAAGTCTCAAAACTAAAGGAAAAAGAAATGGAGGTACATATTCTGAGACATAAAATGGCAATCTCAAAACTTTGCACCTTCCTAAAGAATTCTTAAGGACAACTGTGACCATATGAAATGTATGTCTCACAGGCTGACTTTAAAACTTGACTCCCACATGGGCCACTTTTAAACCATGCAAGAGGGAGAGATGTTCACAGACACATGCAGCCCTACAAGCTGCCAAACTACCAAGTCCCCTGCTCCGTGCTGACCTGCAGAACAATTTGTTCAGATCACTCCTGCTCATTTTTTATTCTATTGTGTCAACTAAACAAAGTTACGGTTCTTCACTGGACAAAGCTCTGAAGAGCAACTAATAATAATGCCACCGGCCAGTTTTTTCAGCAAGCAGTCTGGAGTACTAGGCTCACCTGGAA